ATCACTTGAGACCTAACAAAATAGAACCGAAACAGATTACACATATCGAATTATCCCAAACCAAAATCGAAATGATCTGAAAAGTGAAAATTTGATCTATTACAAAAAACTCAAAATTAACTTAATTGAAACTTAACTAAATAATTCATCCTTGATTTAAATATGAAATTGATCAAAATCAAAACTAATTAGATCTAAATTGATTAAACCTCAAACCAATAAAACCCGAAACCAATAAGACTCAAAATCGATAAGGCTCGAAACTGATAAGATCTAAACCCGATTAGGCTCAAAATTGATAAAATCTGAACTTATTTCTGCCTTTCAATAAACATATTATATTTTCAAAATTTAGTTTGTACTCCGTATTATTTTTTAAAATACAAATTTCAATTTTAAGTTATAAAATCAAATTAAAATAATCTTATTTTGAAAAAAATATATTGAAACATAATGTACTTTTTCATATACAAAATAATCTTATTTTGTATTATTTTTTAAAAATACAAATTTCAATTTTAAGTTACATTTATATTGAAACATAATGTACTTTTTCATATATCTTGGTCAAAGTTTACATACTTTGACCAAAAAAAGTCAAATGAAAAAATATTTTTGGAATGGAGGGAGTAATAAGTTGCATGGACAAAGTAGATTTTATCCTAATTTCATCTCATTACATGTAATTTTATGTGTTTGGGAGTAAGTTTGGTTGGTTTTAAACCAATTAATTCAATATCACTTAATTTTAATTAGGCTTCGTTTGACAACAACGTTAGAGGTTAGCGTTAGTATTTTGAAAAGGTTATCTAACAATATTGTGCGTTAGTATTTTGAAAAGGTTATTTAACAATGTTTTTTAGAATTATCGATTTCATCAAAGCTGTTTTTATTCCGATTTTGTCTGATCTGATTTTGTCTGATCTGATGTCAATAAGAGTAAGTAATACTCCCTCCGTCTCCTAGTTTTTGTCCACTTTTGACTTTTGGAACTGTTCATCCAAGCACTTTGACTCATCAAATTCTCTTAATGTGTAAGACTAAATATAGTCATGTGTGATCTTGTTTGATTTGTTTTAACATATAGATTATTAATATATAATTTCTATAATTTTTTAATATACAAATTACAAGATAAAATGGATTAAAGAAGTGCATTGGATGGTGTGCAAAAATGGAAGTGGACAAAAACTGGGGGACGGAGGGAGTAAATAATAAGGATAAGTTGAATACAACAAGCTCAAACTCTTCCGTCACAATCTAAATTTCTTATTCACTATTGAGATGGTGAAACTTTAAACACTTTTTTGTCTATTTTGTTTACTCATTTGATAAAATAATTATATAATATAGTCAATTAGTCATGTCATTTCTTGATTCGTAAAGTTTTGATGTAGTTGTTAATACTCCAATTATATGCAATTTTATTGAAGAGTATATTTCATAAATGGCCCTTAGTAAAATTTGATTTTCTATATTTAGCCTTCATTATCATATATAACAAGTGTAATCCACATTTCTTTGGTTCCTTTCCTCTACCAAATTGCATTGAATTAGAATGTAACACTATTCGAAATTATCTTTTATCTTTGCTTTTATAAAGATAAAGATAAAAGTAGATGTGATAAAAAAAATTTATTTATCAAAACTAAACCTTAAAATTAATTTGATCATATTAAACTTTTTTCATAATTTTTAATCCAAATTTGTAAAATATAATCAAAACTAAAAAAAGGCAAGATTATTTATGGTGGAGATAGTGTAATTAGAAAAAATGTAATATAATATGAGGTTTTGAATTGATGATAGATTGATAAATGTGATATGATTAAAAAGAAACATGAATAATTAAATTTATTTACGAAATAATGTATATCTAAAATATATTTGAACAAAAAAATATTTGAAATTGAAATAAATCGGAACTGAACTATATCCAAAACTGAAATATATCTGAATTGAAAATGTATATGAAATTGAAATCTATCCGAACTGATTTACATCTGAACCGTATATGAACCTACTTGGAAACGAAACGAAACCTAAAAGTGTATGCCATCGGGACCAGCCTCGACGATGTGGCAATGCCCTTCCCCACTCTACACCCAAAAAGCTCAAAGTAAAGTGAATTACATCTTTCATTATTCAAATTAATTAACGATTTCTTAATTATTAAATTCATTAGTAGTTACGTTATTAAACATTCAAAAAAAATTATTAGTAATTCAGTTATAGGCTTACGTCAATAAACATTGGAGGACATATCACATGTATTCGCTAGAATGTGGTCAGCACGGATAGGTGACGACATTGGAGAAGGTGTTTTTTTGTTTACCACGGAGTAATTCAAAAGGTGTATACTTTAGCAATTAGAGCATCTCCAACCATATCATTTTAACTTGCTAAAAGTTATAATATACTCCGTAACTAGTTAAACACTTTTGCTCTTCTCCAAAGGGCATGCTTTATTTTAGTAAGTTTGCCAAAAAAGAATTTGATTTGCTAAATATGACAAGTCTCTCAAAATTTAGCTAGCCAATACTTAAAAAATGAAATAACAAATAATGGTTGGAGAATGAAGCAAAAAAGTGCTTGTTATATCACTATTCACTTGCTATAATGTAAAAATAGCAAATCCATATAACAAGCATGGTTGGAGATGCTCTTAGTACCTTATATTTTGAAAGAGCATTGTTTTCTTGAAAAAGTATTGTATTATTTTTAATAAGGAGTAATAATTATTCTTAGACTTTAAAAAGATTTAGTAATAGTCCTAGCAAAAGTAGTAATTAATGGCCTACTTAGTTAAACGCGTAGAATATACTCATGTCCCTAATTTGATTGCAAATTGAGAGTTACGAGGCAAAATCCTATATCTTTTGAAATTATTTTATTAACAAACTCGTACATCAATAAGAAATAAAAATCACATATTAAAAAATTACGTCAAAAGTTCTACAAAACGAGAGGGGATACGAATATTTTATATTATCAAATACTCAATAAAAATAAACAAATAGACAAAAGTTATCGAGAGCAGAGAGAAAAAAAGATTGTAATTTATTTCAGGACGAAGGGAGTACGTATTATATTTACGCACATATAATATGCGTATTATACACATATTTGCATAAGATTTTTAAAAATACTTTAAAATACACATATATTTTAGATTATAACTATAATTATGTATAACACATGCATATTGAATGATATTTCATTATAATTATTTTTCGTACAACAAGACACATTAATTTGTTTTAATGAACATTTAAACAAAAAATGTTAGACAATGCGTGCAACTCTAGAGGGGGTGAATAGAGTTGTTGAGAATGATTACCGTTTTTCGCAGGATTAATAATATAAACGTAAGTGCAGCGGAAATAAAAGAGAAAAGACAAAGAACACACCGTTGTATACTGGTTCACCACCTCGTGGCTAGTCCAGTTCCCCGAGAGACTCTCTCGAAGCTACCACTACTTCCGTTAAGCTTACGGGTGCTTAACAAACCGTTTACAACTCATGAACTTGATTCCCACAAGCCTCGACACAACCGCTTGTACCCTCTACAAGACTTCACACTCAAGACTTAAGTCACATAAGTCTTATACAATAGAAGAACAATCTTCTTCAACCTCTCAACATAAACTCTCACAAGAGTAGAAATGAGAAATGATTAAAGCTCTAATGGATGACCAAACACTCTCTTGAAAACACTTAGTTTTCTCTCAAAATATATCAATTTGATGAAGAATTGAATGGAGGATTATAACCTCAAGATTGGAGGAGTTTAGGAGTGCTTGTTCATTGGTAAAAATGACCAAGGAAAGGAGTTTTGAAAGGGTTTGAAGAAATATGTCCGTTGGAGCTTAGAAAAAAGAGTTTGCTAAAAAAATCAGCATAAAAATCAATTAATGCACCATGGTAATCGATTAATGCAGTATGTGCAAAAATCCTTCAGCGGACAAAATGATAATCGATTTTTGCCAAAGTGTAAAAATCGATTTTTGAAGCAATTATGCCCAAACAAGGACACCATCATGTGTGCGAGGAGAAGTGATGTTTTGGAAATTAGCACTTGTTTAGGACATAAAAATCAAATCAATGACCTCCCCAATCAACGTATATAATTCAAATTCAAAATTTGAATTATGAGAAAATATTTTTGGTGTAGAAAATGAGTCCCAAAAATATTTTGTGTGTCAAACGATAAATACGAAAATATTTGAATAAAATATTTTTGCTTTCCAAAATATTTTCTAATATCAAAAAAAATATTTTGATAAATGTTTGACACACCTTTTGTAACTGACTCAATGAATGTATTTTGAATAGTTAAAAGGATTTTTCAACTGACTCCTAAAATATATTATTTTTATATTTACTCTCATAAAAATAATATTTGGGTAGAAGATATTTTTGTCATCCTTACAATAATTCCTAAGACTCAAATAAATAAAAAGTCTTCGGAAATTCTTCTACTCCTCCGAGTCCTCCGTTAGGCACTCCGAACGCGTCTCGGACTCCAATAAAATCCTGTGCACCTTCTTGAATACTTCAAGGAATGGAACTTCATGTCTTCGTGTTTGTCATTGTAGCACTTTGATCTTGACTTGAATAAATTGTGTTTGTCAATTTTCAAAACCTGTGAGTCAACACTTAACAACACAAAAAGGGTTGAACTCATGCATTCCAACAATTTCTCCCTTTTTGATAATGACAAACACATGGAGGATATGCTACCAACAAATAACAAAATAAGGCATATACTCCTATACTCTTCCCCCTTTTGGCATTATCAAAAATAATGCAACAAAAGAACTCATGCATTCCGGGGAGAGAAAAAAATCTAAACATATAAGAAAAATCACATTCCCCCTAAAAACATGCATTTCTAGAAAATAAAAATACTTCCCCCTAAATGTATGCTATATCCTCTTTAAAAATAAGGCATGCAAAAGCATTAACACATATAGCAATAAATTCCCCCTTACTATATGCAAGACATCCTATGTATATTCCCCAAAATTTTTTACATAAATTCATTAAAAATTATATAATGACTCCCCTTTGATGCAATCTCTTTGGCGAAGTGCTTGGAGCATCCACTACAAATTTGTAGTCTTCAAGCACACCTTCCATGTGCGTCACGTACCCGACCACCCATCTTATTCTTCAAGAGCGATGAGACAATCGTCTTTGGAAGGTTCATCACACTTCCACGAAAAGTATGCGAATTCATCTTGTTTGCTCATCTTCTTGAGCTTCAGGCACTCAAATTTTCGGTGGCCAAGCTTTCCGCACTTATGACACCTTGGGGTGTTCTTCTTCTTGCTCTTTCTAAGCTCATGTTTCATAAACTCGTTAAAACATTCAACCAAAATATCACAAGAAGTGCTAGAATCACTATCACTATCTGAATCCGAATGATCAATCTCTACTTTTTGAGAAGAAGATGCTTTAAAAGCAATTCTCGTTCTCTTCTTAACGTCAAGAGTATGAGAAAGATGATTTGTTTCGTAAGTGATAAGGTTACCTCAGAGACCGTCGTATGTGATAATGCTGTAATCTCGGCCTTCATATATGGAGTTTACCTTTGACTCCCATTCCTTGGTAAGACTTCGCAGGATTTTCCTCACTAAGTCCTTATCGGTGAGCGTCTTTCCAAGCATATCAAGGTTGTTGACGATGTTTGAAAATCTTCCAAACATGTCCTCCACAAGTTTGTTCTCTTTCATAGCAAATAACTCATATTCATGGGTTAGCAAATCAATTTTTGATTCACGAACTTGAGGCGTACCTTCATATGTGATCATGAGCTTGTTCCACATTTGGTTGGCGATTTGGCAACGAGATATCTTTTGATAATCGTTGGCATTGACAGCACAATACAAGAAGTTGATGGCGGTGGCATTCAATTGAGCCTTCTTAAAATCGGTTTCATCATATTCATTCTCATCCTTCGGGATGAGTGTATCGCCTATCTTCTTCATCGGCAAGCTATCTCCATTCTTGATAGCAAGCCAAAATTTGAAGTCGTTTGATTGAACAAAAATCCTCATTCGCTCCTTCCAATATGAGTAATTTGTTCCATCAAAAAATGGTGGCCTTACGGTGGATTACCCTTCTCTAATCCCCGCGTTCAACATTCTCAAAAAAAATTTGATCGTTTTCTCAAACGTCACAAAGAGCGTTAGAGATACCCGCTCCGATACCAATTGTTAGACAATGTGTGCAACTCTATGGGGAAACTTGTCCAATTAGAGCTAGTCACTATAAGTGATTAACTGAAGAGAGCTAACCAGTATGTTTTTTCAAATACCGAAAGACCCTCAATACTATTGCAATAAGATCATGACGTGGTGCATGCATGTATTGAGAAAGAACATGTACGTACCTGGTAAGATAGATCTAATTGAGCAATGGTAAGATAAATTTGACGACTCTCAAGGTGGTGGTACTTAATTGGATCTCTGATTCGAGTGCTAGCAAACTGAGATAGACCGTGATTGGGAGTTATAAGAGTGTCATCTAGTTTGCACCCCCATAAGGCCTGCCTTTTATTGAATATCCAATGCATATTTGCGCTAACATAGAACAATACCTTTGTCAGAGCAAGCACACTTAATCCCTAAAAAATATGATACATGACCCAAATCTTTCAGAAGAAAGGAGTGGTGCAAATAAGTTTTGAAAGAGGAACATAGATTTTGGTTGTTACTGATAACCAGAATGTCATCAACATAAAAAACAACCACCAAAATATCATATCCTTGTCGGAAAAAAGAGAGTATGATTAGCATGGACCTGACGGAATCCATTTCTGTGAAGATCAGTGGTAAGCTTTGCAAAACGAGTTGTGAGGCAACTGCCTCAGGCCGCAAAAAGATATTTGCAGTCGACACACTTTACCTGGATAGAGGCAAGAAAATCTAGGAGGCAAATACATGTAAACCTCCTCCATTAGGCCACCTTGGACGAATGTGTTGTTAGCATCAAGTTGGTGCACCTGCCAGCCCTTAGCAGCGACAATAGATAGAAGAACACAAACGGTACCCATCTTGGCTACAAGGGCAGAAGTAGGAGTATAATTAGTCTTTAAGGTCTTATGATTACCAAGAACAAATAAGCGAGCATTATCACGATCCTTAGTACCATCAGAATTGAACTTGGTTTAAAACACCCCTTGGAAACCCAAAGTTTTCCTGTTAGGTGGTAAATCAGTATGTGACGACCTAAGTCTAAGTATTTTCCAGCAACTTAATCTCTTGTTGCATAGTTGCTCGCCATATATGTGGCATGGGAAACAACCTCAAAATAGTTTTTAGGAACAAAGTGAGGACTAATGGCACCCAAGAAAGCTCGGTCCATGTCATACCATTTATGATTACAAACAAAGTTGGCAATAAGAAAATGTGTACCTTAAGTAAAAGATTTTAGAGAAGATATACACAGTGAAGACTTAGAATTGAGAAATTGACGATATAGTCAATAAGATGAGAGGGAAGTGTCCGTTGTCGCTGTGGACGAAGGGAGGGGATGCCAGTGACTAGAGGTTCACCAACAGAAGCGGGAATAGAGTCAGCAACCGGGATGGTACATGTGGCAAATAGGAAATGACTTTTGTTTAAAGAGATCTCCCGAATGTGAAAAAACGATTAATAACCAGGTAATACACATGCCAAGCTTTAGTTCTTGAAGGGTACCCAACAAACATACATTGTGTGCTATGGGGAGCAAATTTGTGAGAAGCTTTGAGGCGAACAAAACATAGGCACTCGAAGATGCAAAAATGACTCAGATTTGATAGTTTGTTATTAAGAACCTCAAATAGATATCCCCCCCGAGTACTTTGTTAGGAGTACAATTAATCAAGTAAACATTAGTACGAATACATTCCCACAAAAACTCAATAGGCAAACTAGCCTGGAACATAAGAGAACATGTGGCATTTAAAATAGTGAAATTTGCACTCAATATGACTAAAACATAAGTCATTTCACAATGTAGAACTTAAATTTTTTTATTTCTTAAATAGTACTTAATAATATATAGTGGGAGCATTAATGTAAGTGATGATGGACATTTACTTGAATAATGACTAATTAATAATGACCAAACGTCCTACATCGAGAAATAAAAACATATGCCCCTATTTTGGGAAAGTCATTATGTTTTAATCCTATTTAGGTAAATTCCTCTTTGAAATATATATGTCTATTTTTATGTTTTATCCTACCATTTTGTTGGGGAGTACCAACACAAGATGTTTGAATAGACACACCCACATAAAGGTAAAAGTCGTGAAGGGGCCAATTTAAAAACTCGGTCCCGTTATCTGAGTGTACAACTTAGTACCTATCAATAATCAAATATGCCCAAATAGCCTGAGAGTGATCATCGAAAATAATCAAAAAATAATAGGCTCTAGTAGCTAAATATGAGGTATAAGCACCCCATAAATCACAAGGAATTAAATAAAAAATATAGGTAGCTTTATTCAACTTGACAGGAAAAGTACTACAAGCTTGTTTACACTGAAAACAAATTTCAGAAGATTATAATTTTTTAAGTTTTGAGCTACTAGAGTTGAAAATAATAGAACACAAAACTTTCGGAGATGGGTGGCTTAGACGCTAATTAAGAAGAATTAGACACGTGTAGCAAATTAAAGGCACGACTCAAAGGACGGAACAGAAGCACTCCATTGTGTGCATCACCCTATCCAATCTCCATCTTCGTGGCACAGTCCTGTATGACACAATAATTTTTGTTAAAAAGTACAATACAAGAACTATCCCGAAAAAAGATATGTTATAGAAATAAGATTGCACTGTAGTTCGGGTACAAGAAAAACATCCTAAAGGACCAATTCAGATGACAAATGCACATTCTCACAACTAGTGGTCGTGATGTGCATGTCATTAGGTAGCGTGATGATGCAAGATGCCACAGAGACGACATCAAATAAAGAGGAAATATTACCGGTCATGTGATGAGACGCTACACTATGTATAACCCAATCACTTGAAGAAGTATCAGGATTCGTGCCATGACCCTTATCTGACGTAGAAATGTCAAGCATAGAGATCAAATGTGCAACCTCCTCAAAAGTAAAGCCTAAATAATTAAAAGAAGAATTGGTTATTGTGTTGGCTCCCCTTGCCAGCTGACCGGAAATCTCATCACGACCCTATTGGCCATTGCCGCCGTGAGTGCCCAAGCTGGTGCCACAACCACCACGTGAAGATGGTCCCCCACGACCGCTCCCTCGGCCCGATGGTATCCATGCAATTGATAACAATGATTTACCAAATGTCTGCATTTCACACAATGAGTGCAAGAGAAATGGGGAGCTTTAGAGATGTGTGTCACCCGACGAATGGAAAATGCCATGGTGTCAGTCTTATCCTCCCTGCTATAGACAATTCTGAGGTTATGTTCTTCTTGGATAATCAAGGCATTAAATTTTTTCAAATTAGGAACATGTTTTGTGCCTAAAATCTGAGATCGAATGGATCCAAACTGTTCATCATTAAGTGCCAACAAAAATGGTGAGTTTTCTCGCTTTCCTCGCAAGCACAAATAAGGGTAGCGACCTCACACCCACAACAACAAGTGGGATTAATTGATCCATACAACTTGTTCCACAAAGTAACATATTGGTTAAAATAAACCACAACAGTTTGTACAGAGGGATAGAAACTTTGATTTTAACTAACGAACACGAGGTCTATTGGACCCCCCATACCGCGTCTTCAGATCGAACCACAATTCATGAGCAATTTTATAAGATGTAATTGAAGGCTGAATAAACTCATCGACACTATTGCAAATTCAAGAATAAATAATAGAATTTTTGGCTTTCTAAGTCGCTAATTCTTGTTCATCAAAGGGTTTAGGAAAACCGTAAACGTTAAAAACCTGCTCTACTATGCCCTTCCAAAGCATTAACAATAGATTTCTCCCAAAGATAATACTTATCTCTTTTAAAGAAGTGTTTTGTAAGAGAATTACCCGCACTCTCCAAATGATGAAGGTAATAAGGAGAAGTTGGATCGTGGATTAGACGAACCCTCTTCCTATTTTTGGTGGTCTACTTGATGAAGCGACAATGATGAAAGAAAAACATCCCCTTAAGATGAGCAAGAGGGACAACGAGTTGTCAACGTAAGACCTACCAGGGAGGTGGCACCGTGCGTCGAAAAATCTCGGCAGAAGAAAAATTGAGAGAGCCTAGGGTTCGAAAATATCCCAGGGAGTGGCTTTGATACCATGAAGAAATATTGTACAAACCAAACTGTCTTAATACAAATTAAGACATACCTAATTACATCGTGCTATTTAGACTAGGTTAAGTACACATACAAAATAATATAATACAAGAATAGTATATTATATATATGTACACCAACATCAATTCATTCATCAACTTTTGATTAGGGCTGTAAATGGATAGTGATGGTGTAAATTATCAACCGGTATATCGTTTTTAGCCGGGCAAAAATGATAAACTAATCTAAAAAATACACCAAAATATAAACACGGGGATTTTGACGTGGAAACCCAAATTAGGAGAAAATCACGGGCCTTTTTTGGCGGTACCTTGCCAACGGGGGATTTTTATTAATATCGGGGGTGTGTACACGATACATGAAATGGGCTCGGAAGCCATTAATGGCGGAGCTACAAGCTCTTGAAGAAGAAAATATATAAAATTCTAGAGATAGAGAGAGGAAGTGGGCAGGGGAGAGTGTGATTTGGCCTTCCTTAACATTGAGGAGGAGCCCTCCTTTTATAGGAGTAGTTGGAGCATCTACGGAGGAACATTCTATTATTCCTACATTTTATTAAACATGCCTGGTTTGACTGTTCTTTGTAAATAATTGGGAAATGTGGGCCGAGCCACGTATTATTTCCCATCAAGAAGTCCTCCACTTTTTTAAGTTGTCAGAATCATCAACTTAAAAAAGTAAACAAGTCCTCCGAGTGATATCTTCAGTCTTCGTACTTTGGATTCTTGATATTATTGCTAGTCCTCTGAGTCTTCATTAATTCTCTAATTTATTGAATCAGAAGTTTTTCCTGCAAAAATAATATGTACAACATTCTTTTTTTTGACCGGCCTATGCCGTGCTCAAAAAATTATTATCTTTACCGAGAAGCTCGATGTTAGGGTGATTAAGCTTCGCGCGAATAATTACCGTAACGAGAGCGATGTCAGTTCGATAAAGCAACGATGCTTCGAATAGTTATACGACACCGGAGTTAGTACGATGAAGCGACGGTGCTTCAAGTAATTATTTCGTCGAGATCGATGTTAGTACGAATAAGTAACCGATGTAGTAGCTTTGTTGAAGATCAGTGTTTGCCCGGCTGACTAATGTGAATATCTTCATGTCTTGCGGAGACCATCTTCGATAAAAGTGCCTCAAATAGAGGGCTTAAATGAATCGGGCGACCCCAATGTGAGCCTTGCTCACTTTTTTGCTGAAACCGATGTACGATCGGTGTACCCAATTCGATTGGGCTCGAGCTTATTGGAAAATATGTGTATGACCGGTGTGAGTCCGGTGTACCAGTTCGACTGGGTCACACATTTTCTTTTTTATACTAAGCAAGACCGGTGTAGTAACCAGCGTGTCAGGCCGGGCATGTGTCTCAGTCTTCCTCTTTGAATAATGCTGCTGGCCGGGCCAGATCAACATTGGAGAATTAACCATGTCGGATGGTTTCGAGCCCTCTCCAAGGCCCAAAATGCACCCTTCTTCCAGGGCCCCCTCTTCCGGGTGATTAAGTCTTTTAATGGCCCTTTGATGTTTACTATCCTGGGAAGGCCTTAGCTCACCCCTCCGTTCAAGTCTTCCCTGAGAAGGGGGAATCCAAACCGGTCGGAATAGGATGCATCACGGTGGACGACCCTCTTCTATTTCTTTTAATTGGCATCTTTTAGTCCCCAATCAGTTTGCCAGTTGATTGATTCCCCGATACCGGTCAAACTTCATGATTCCCCGATACCGGGTTTATTTTTTTTATTTTATACTGAGCAAGACTGGTGTAATAACCAGCGTGCCAGGTCCGGGCCTGTGTCTCAGTCTTTCTTTATAATGGCCAAAGAATCCCCCCAAGATCCATGCATCGTGCTTGCTGTTGGACGAGAGTGATTTGTTTGCTTGCGGGCCTCATCACATGGGAGCATTTCCTTGATTTTTGTAATTGGAGTATATCTTGATTTTTGCAAGTGGAGTATCTCTTGATGTAATAAGAGTAATGGACCCCACCACCACCACTCCACTTGCTTCCTTCCTCTTGTTGTCGTCCCTTCTTCTCTTATCTCTCTCTTTTTTTGTTTGTCTCCTTGTTAATTATTGGTACAAAGCATGTACCCACTTTTTCTTCATTTCCAAATTGTGCCATTGTATTCTTCATGTGGTACCCACCTTTATTGTGTCAATCATCTTCAATTCTTCATTGGCATGTACTTGTTTGGCTCAAGAAGTGTAGACATGATGGCGGCACATCTCTGTAGTGGCATCCGTGTTGTAATTCATCACCATCACTTTAATTGGATTATGCTTGATGCCACTTTGAGACGGAATTGGATCACTTGTGATGGAGGGATTTAACGGCGTGATTGAGATTATCACTCCTCAGAATATGACGCTAGTTTTATAGGCAATAGCAGCAACTCAGATTCCAACAGTGGAAGTGTCGGCTACAAAATTGAGTAGAAATTGGAGTCTTCCGTGGTTGGATGGCTTCAATGGAAACGTTGCAGCGGCCGTGAGGATCAAAAACGGTGGTGGGGACTCCAACAGTGGCAACGACGATGTTTGGCTTCGTTGGCAATAATAGCCGACTTCGGTGGTGGCGACAAATATGGATGTGTCATTCTCTAGCGATGAGTGGCTAGAGGCACCAGGAAAAAAGAACTGAAACCGTCCTTTGACGAAAAACAGAATGGCGGCTAACTCTGGCTCCAGTGTCAATCAAATCCGACGACGAGCTCAGCTCCAGTGTCGGAAACGACGGACTTGCAGTATGCCGACAGCAGTTCCTGACTGCTCCTCTCCCCATGCTCCTCCAGCACGTGGTAGATCTCAGGTCCGGCGATGAGGGAAGCAGTGATGACGCTAGATATCTTGCGGCGCGTTTAGAGACGGAGCCCGGGCCAGTGCAGCCTTGGAGATCGGCTTCTCTGCTTTGACGACAAGGATAACTTTCTCCGATGGCAGGGCAACGGTGTGCGGCATCGAGGAAGCGTGGAGGTCGAATTTCGGAACTCGATCCAGATTTTCCCCCCACTCCACGCAGATGCAACGAGAGACCTTCATGGGATGGACACCAATAAGAACAGCTGGATCTGCTTCTTCTGCGGCGATGGTTGATTTTTCACAGGTGATTCCAATTGAGGAGCAAAGGTGAAAAATTTGGAGACATTTGTAGTTTTTTTCTTTTCTTTGTGGTGGTGAGAAGAGAACAATGGAGCATTCTCCCTCTTTTGCTTTAGGGGCGAATTGGCAGTGAGATCATATCCTTCCCCCCTTCCTCTCTTTTTTTTTGAGAGACAAATTTGCCAAAAAATTTGGGTCTCTCTTGAAGAAAATAAAATGAAGGAATTGAAAATTCATGGCCTTTTGTTTAGGTCCCACGGTCGGCGCTAAAATGATGGTGTAAATTATCGAATGGTATATCGTTTTTAGCCAGGCAAAAAGGATAAACTAATCTAAAAAATACACCAAAATATAAACACGGGGATTTTGACATGGAAACCCAAATCGGGAGAAAACCACGGGCCTTTTTTGGCGGTACCTTGCCAACGGGGAATTTTTAATAATATCGGGGGTGTGTACACGATACATGAAATGGGCTCGGAAGCCATTAATGGTGGAGCTACAAGCTCTTGAAAAGAAAATATATAAAATTCTATAGATAGAGAGAGGAAGTGGGCAGGGGAGAGTGTGATTTGGCCTCCCTTAACATTGAAGAGGAGCCCTCCTTTTATAGGAGTAGTTGGAGCATCTACGGAGAAATATTCTATTATTCCTCCATTTTATTAAACAGACCCGATTTGACTGTTCTTTGTAAATAATTGTGAAATGTGGGCCGAGCCACGTATTATTTCCCATCAGATAGCTAAAATTTGATTACTGTCCGCATCCGTATCCGTTTATATGGAAAATATTCGCACCTGTTAAAAGCGGTTATTATCCGTATTTGATTGCTAAGCGGATACGGATTTGGTAATCATACATCCGATCCGTTTATAATCCGTTCCGCATTAACATCTTTTTAAATAACCGTTTATCCATGTATCCGATTCGTTATATACAGTTTTTCCTAATTTTTTATTTTTATATTTTGTTTCTCTATTGATATCTCAAAGTATAAGACATTTTTATATGCAAAATATATGTGTAGACACATAAAAATATGTGTATATATGTGCTATGTATATCTTTATATAATATGATGTCATCGTAGAATATTATAAACCATAAAAAGTATGAAAATAAGTATCCCATATAAAGTTATTGTTAGAATAAGTGACCAATGCTAGAGGGGGGGTGAATAGCGTTTGATCGTAGAAATCGCAGGAATAAGAAATTAAGAACGTGAAAAGTAAAGAGCGTAGAAAGTGTAAAGGGAGCACACCAAGATTTATACTGGTTCACCACAACATGTGGCTAATCCAGTCTCCCTAGAGACTCTCTTGAGCTACACTACTTCCGTTAAGCTTACGGGTGCTTAACAAATCATTACAACCTGAGAACTCGAGTCCCACGAGCCTCAATACACTTGCTCGGAGATACCGCACTCCAAGACTTCAACCCGAAGGAAAATACCTTTCCTTCGTACAACCAAGGGAAACAAGCTTCCCTTAACGTGTATACAACACTAAACACTCAATAATAGGACTCTCTTTAAGAGTAGATTATGAGTAAACTAAGTACGCTTAAGAACAACTCAAGCTTCACACAAATTGGCTCTAGAAAGCTATGGAAAATGATGTTGTTTGAATTCAATGATAATATGAATAATGTGAAGTGAATTGATGTGTAAAGCAGACCCAAACACCCCTTTTTATAGTGCCAAAATAGGCTCCAACGGACCAATACATTAAAGGGGTGATTGGCTTGATTTATGGGATAGATTAAAATGTGGATCTATAGGATATTGGCTTTCCCAGTGATGTACGGACTTACCCATCGCTGGTAAGCCAATTTTCCTTCAGTTTTGAAGCCAACGGTCACCTACCCATCGATGGGTAAATGCTTCCCATCGCTGGGTGGGAGGTTGACTTTCAAACAAGGAAAGAATCAGCCTTAAATGACTTACAACGGTCATGCCTAACCAGCGATGGGTATGCCCTCCCATCGTTGGGTTCCCATCGATGGGTAAAGGTTCCCATCGCTGGGTAAGGGCATTCTGCCTTGTGATAATGTTGGACCAAGGCTTGAACAATGATGGGTAGAACTTCCCATCGCTTTTGGCATGGTTCTGGAAATCAGTTGGGCTGAAGGCTGCTTACCCATCGCTGGGTAATATCTCCCATTGCTAGGTGGCATGATTATGGAATCCCGGGATCACTTACCCATGGATGGGTGATATCTACCATCGCTGGGAAGATGGCTAGCCTAGAACCATGGCCTAGCTGACCGGCGCTGAAACCCGACCGAAAAATGCAAAGTTCTCCAAAGTAAAAACTAAGTATTTAAAACACTTATTTAATGTATTGCGATGTAAAAACAAGCTTTGTAAGTTGAAAACCACGTCGTTAAGGTAAAAACCACGGTTGACCAAGTCAACGCCAAACACGGCTAGTTTTTACCAAAAGACAAAACCGAAAGGTGGTTTTCATGATTTTTTGATTGGAGAACCATTTAAATGCATTCAAAAACAATTCCCACACAAAAATACTTGAAAACCACTTCATTTAATTAAAAACCACGGCTAGCCAAGTTTATGCCGTTTCGCATGGTTTTTATCAAACGACAAAAAACGAAAGGTGGTTTTTGAAATGTTTTTGATGAAAAACTATTTAAAAGTGACCAGAAGTAAAAACCAATCATAAAATGTTGAAAAAAACTTGGTTGGTTCGGACGCCAAAAACCAACGCCGATAACCGTATGCCGAACGCCGATTTCTGAAAGCCGAACGCCGGATGGCTTGGTTTTTGGTTTGGTTGAACACCAAGTGTTTTTAATGTGTTTAAACATGCTAGGAAATCATTTTTATGATATGAGAAATGCAATAAAAGGTTTTAGCCTAAAGAGCCAAAGTGTAAGGCTTGGGTCGGTCTTGATCACATTTGTGACCGACTCAACGACACTAAAACTATGGTCTTCGTTCTTGGTCTCTTTTAGCTCTTGTTCTCATATTCATTTCTCGCCTTGTATATTCAACACTTTGTCTCGTTCACGGCGGTTTGGCATTATCAAAACCTGTCATAAAAACGAACACTGGCTTTAGTACGATAAAGCGATAAACCCGTGTTTCAACAATTATGGTTGATTTAATAATATTTTGATTTAGTTAAATTGAAAATTAAAGTATTGTTTAATTTGATTTTTAAAATTGGAAACGGATACGAATATATCTGATATCTGACGGATGCGAATATGATTTTGATTTTCAATATCCGTCAAGATCCGTATCCGAATTCGATATCCGACAAAAATAAATGGATACGGATTTGGTAATGGCACATCCGATCTGATTAATATCCGTTGACACCCCTACTTTCTATCTTTTTTTTCAATTTTTCTCTATTACCTCCATTCTATTGAATTTGTCCATCTTGACTTTTTCGAGTCGAACATAATGAATTTTGAGTTTCAATTAGACAAAAATTGTAATGTATTTTAGTATGGAATTGATTTTCTAAGATTTAATCTATTGAGAATCTTTAAAATTTTATTTTAGTATATTAATATACAGTACAAATTAAGAGTATTTAGAGCTCAAAATTATCTATTTTGATTCAAAAAAAGAGGAAACTTCAAAGTGCAAACTAGTTTTAAATCGGGATTTCCTTAGGTGGGATTGTACCACCCGACTTGCACAACTTTACTGTAGACCAAAAATCAAACCATTTGGATGCTCCCATGTTCATTTCCTTTAATTTAATCTATTTTCTTTCAGCTGCATTAATCGTTGATGATGATGCATTAATCGAGTATGGTGATGCATTAATCGATTTTTATGATGCATTTTTCATCCCAGCTTCTTTTTTTGGACCAACGGATATATTTCTTCACCTCCTATTTAAACACTCCTCCTTGGTCATTTTTAATAACATACACTCCAATACTCCCCATTCTTGAGGTGTTAATCCTCCATCAATCTTTCCTCAAATTTATATCCTTTTGAGAGAAAATTATTTGCTTTAAAGAGAGGTTTCTTGTAAACCATTAGAGAGCTTTAAGCATTTCTCATTTCTACTCTTTTGAGAGTTTATGTTGAGAGGTTGAACAAGATTGTTCTTCTTGTTGTTCAAGACTTATGTGACTTAAGTCTTGGTTGTAAAGTCTTGTAGAGGTCATATCTACGAGCGGTTGTATCGAGGCTTGTGGGATTCAAGTTCTCGAGTTGTAAACGGTTTGTTAAGCACCCGTATGCTTAACGGAAGTAGTGGTAGCTTCGAGAGAGTCTCTCGGGGAACTGGACTAGCCACAAGGTGGTTAACCAGTATACATCGGTGTGTTCTTTGTCTTCTCTCTTTTATTTCCGCTGCACTTACGTTTATATTATTAATCCTGCGAAAATTGGTAAACATTCTCAACAACTCTATTCACCCCCCCTCTAGAGTTGCACGCCTTGTCTAACACCTTCGTGAAGCTTATTCATCGCTACCCTTTTCGTATTCATCTATCTGATTCATTCCATCCCCTAAATCTTTTCAACTTTTTCAGTCCCACCTAGGGTTTCCAGCTTCCGGTAAAGCTGTCGCCACCATCGCCTTCCCTCGTCCTTAATTTGCCATTCTTCATCATTTTCGCCTCCTCGCGATCTTTGCGCCTCCCTATATCGTCGCCTCTCCTTCGTCGGCCTTCTTTAATTGTCACCCTCCTCTCCTCCTTTGCGACCTTCTTCAATTCTGCATCTACCGCTTCTTTTTACCGGTTGTATCCATCTTTGTGTACAGCCGGATGTATAATATAATTTGCGTCCAAAGTAGTGAAGTTATGTTTAGTTTATTACTATTTTTATTATAAAAATCTTTATATTTATTTATTGAACTGTAATATCTATTTTACTCACCAGGCTTTACACGAACTTCCAAACTTAACAAACTATATATCGTTGGTCACCATTTTACAAGATCTACCCAAAAATATAATTTTTATTCAAAACGGACTACTCTACAAATAATTCATATTTTTGAGTAAATAGATTTAATATTTAATTTTTTATTAAAATAACGGCTAACTACTAAGCCAGTTTTTGGATCGTTACAAGTATCAGGATTCGTGCCATGACCCTTATCAGATGTAGAAATGTCAAGCATAGAGATCAAATGTTCCACCTACTCAAAAGTAAAGCCTAAATTATTAGGAGAAGAATTGGTTATTGCGTTTGCTCCCCCTGCCGGCTGACCGGAAATCCCATCGCGGCCCAATTGGCCATTGCCGCCATGAGTGCCCTAGCCGATGCCACGACCACTACGTGAGGCTGGTCCCCCACGACTTCTCCCTCGACCTGGTGGTATCCATGCAATTGATAACAATGATTTTCCGAATGTCTGTATTTCTCACAATGAGTGCAAGAGAAATGGGGAGCTTTAGAGATGCTTGTCGCCCAACGAATCGTAAATGCCATGGTGTCAGCCTTATCCTCCCTGCTACAGACAATACTGAGGTGATGCTCTTCTTGGATAATCAAGGAATTAAATTTTTTCAAATTAGGAACATGTTTTGTGCCTAAAATCTCAGATCGGATGGATCTAAACTGTTCATTATTAAGCGCCAACAAAAATGGTGAGTTTTCTCGCTTTCCTCGCAAGCACGAATAAAGGTAGCAAACTCACACCTACAACGACAAGTGGGATTAATTGATCCATACAACTTGTTCCAAAAAGTC